CTAAGTATTGAATACGTTGTGGAGACCGTAAGAGGCGCCAGGTGGTTTCCCTCCATTGTGTCCCATCTCCCTGAGGCCCAGCACCATGAGCTCTTACATTCCTTGATGGAGCTCGACAGATCGAGCACAAATGGAGTGTCAGAACACCATGAAGTCAGGTAATGCCACCCCCAGTCTTATTACCCCCGGTCGCTACCTTAGGGATGTACAAAGTCTGAAATACTGAAAATAGCATCTCTATCCTAAGCGAAGCCTCCTTCCATAGCATCCACGACCCCACCATTTGGCTCCAAGAGTTGGGGTTCAATTGGGTTGGGGCTAGGCTATAAGACCTTAGAACATAACGAAAGAAAGGATGGATCAGCAGCCTAAGGCCAGCCTTAAAAAGTGCTTTGCTCACAGCTACGCAGCCCGACCTAGGGTAACATGCTCGCTCATCGGGCTCTGGCAAAATTAGACCCACACTGTCTGGGATCCTATACTCTTTCCTAAGTCTATCAAAGTTGGCAGGCTTAAGTTTGGAAGGGTAATCAGACGCCTCCCAGTGTATGGAAGTGTCTACCGAGCTATCAGGTCGCTTCCAAATGTTTTCCCCCTAATATCGCTTCGGACAATTTCGAGAAGATCGCCAATACTGGCTGGTCAAACCTCACTATTTCCAACTCCTTCCCAGACGACCTACTATCCTCAGAGGCCATTTTTCAGAAAAAATTGTGAAAAAACTCAAGAATACTTATGAAAATCAACCAGAATAGGTGTCCTAATGTCGGAAAGCTCAAAACCAACTCCTTAAAGTCGTCGGAGATCACAAAGAGACTCAAAACTCATCGAAAATCGCCAAGAAATTTGAGAACAATAGAGATTCTGAGTTTGCAAAGGTGAAAACATTGAATGGCACTAAGTCCTCCTTTTATAAGAGACCTCAGACGATCCTCACCGTTGAATTTAAACGTTGTCAATTAGACCGTTTATCTCATTACAAATCTGGATTATTGAAATGAAACACCAGATTTGATCAACGCCCAAGATCCGCCTATACCCCTCACACACGCATAGAACGTGTCACCTCGAATAACAACAGCCGTCAACAATAAGTAGCCTAGTAGCCCTTTTTCTGGGAACATGCAGCACATCCAACTGTCACCTTGGAAATACGCGACAATTGTCAAATCATCTAACGTCAGAATGGGCGCCTCAGATCGAGCTCTTCACCTAGCTTTACAAAGTTTTGACACACCTGACGCGGAGTCCCATGTGGGTCATCACCTCAGTTGCTGCATTCCCTTCTAAGCTTTACAAAGCTTTAGTCATCTCCCAACACGTCGTCCCCTGTGGGTCAGCGCACCGGTGGCAGATAAGCTCTTCACCTAGCTTTACAAAGTTTCGACGCACCTGACGTGGAGTCCCCTGTGGGTCATCGCCTCGATTGCAGAGTTCCCTCCTAAGTTTTACAAAGCTTTAGCCATCTCCTAACGCGTCATTCCCTGTGAGTCAGCGCACCAGTGGCAAATGAGCTCTTCACCTAGCTTTACAAAGCTTCGACTCACCTGACGTGGAGTCCCCTGTAGGTCAACACCTCTGTTGCTAAGTTTCCTCCTAAACTTTACAAAGCTTTAGCCATCTCCCAACGTGTCGTCCCTTGTGAGTCAGCGCACCGGTGGCAGATAAGCTCTTCACTCAGCTTTACAAAGTTTCGACGCATTTGACGCGAAGTCCCCTGTGAGTCATCTCCTCGGTTGATGCATTCCCTCCTAAGCTTTACAAAGCTTTAGCCATCTCCCAACGCGTTGTCCACTGTGAGTTAGTGCATCGATAATAGATAAGCTCTTTACCCAACTTTACAAAGCTTCGACGCAGCAGACGGGAGCCCCCTGTCGGTCATCGCCTCAATCGTCGCATTCCCTCCAAAGTTTTACAAAACTTTAGCCATCTCTCCACGCGTCTTTTCCTGTGAGTCAGCGCCCCGGAGGTAGATGAGCTCCTCCCCCAACAGAATTATAGATCACACGCCTTGGTCGAAAACTAAAGGCCCGTCACGAAACAACGATCATCCGAGAGGACGCCCTACCCACGACACCTCGATTATCACTAAGCCTAAGCTAACAGGTATTCGAAACATCTGCTGGATGTGCCCTTGCACATCAGGACTTCATCAGAATCCGCAGTCCCTACTCTAAACCCGGCATACATAATAGGATAAACAAGTCCATCCATGATATGAATATTCATGCTTGAACTTGAGGGGACCACTGTTACGCCCCTAACTAAACCACTTCGGAAAGTCAGGCACACCACTCCCCAAAGTGTCAAGTGTCCATCCGAATCCGAAGTGCCCCTTGATGCTGAAGCGTTAGACACTCCGAGGTGCTCCTTTAACAGATCCCTCCGCCACCGCTTTCAAAAAAATATCTGTGTCAGGATCCTCTCTGCCTCCAAGGATTAATTGATGTGATGTCTCCATAGGTCTAGTTGATGTGATATATCAACTTTATATCAACTCAACTCAGAAGAATTAATTGCCCGCTCACTCTAGACGCGGCTGATTGACGCCTATGAGTGGACACCTCACACCGTCAGATGCATACACATGTTCTACATCCAACGATACTCTACCTCTATAAATACCTAAGGTTTGGCAAGAGACAAAGGTAATGAAACTCTCACAACTTAACTCTCCATATTAAGAAATATATATTATTCTCCCCATTCTCTTGCATAACTTGAGCACTATTTCGATCACCTAACACTGATTTGATCCTCAGAGTGTAAGCGGCCGCCATCGCCCCCGCTGGTTCCGACTGCGTGCTTCTGACTGTGCTTTGTTGTGCGCAGGGAGGATTACGTAGAGTGGCTATCCGTTGGCCAGGTCAACAATTTCTTTAAAAATTTATTGACTGAAATTATTACTTCATAATTTATATACTTTTATTGTTAGGTTTTATCAATTTATTTTATAAAATTTAAATTTGGACAATTGATGATTGCTTTTTATTCTTTTAAGAGTTCAAAAAACATTTTTTTTCTTTTGAGATTAAAAATTATTCTAATTCTAAAAAGCATTACTTTCAAAATTTTGCATAACCTTCGCCTAAGCTCGAAACTTGTCTTTACTATTTAATCGTACTTTATGTATAAATTTCATCTTATCTCGCTTAAGTTCGTAAAAAACTTGAAACTTGATCATACATATATGATTGTGAAATGTATTTTTTTCTCATTGTTTTGGGTTGTATTGGATTATATTATTAAATGTATATGACTTTTACATTTTAGTGTATTTATACATTGATAGAAAAAATTTTAATATTATTTAATTAAATATTAAAAAACAATTTTACTATTGCAACCGTTAAAGGTCAACGGCCGCCCTGGCTGACTCAATATCCTAGATCCGTCACTGGGTGCATGTTATCGCCAGAGGATGGCAGACATTTGTAACGAAAAAAAAAAAAAGATAGATGTGGCTTCGAACTGATCCACATCAATCTGCCTATGCTAAAGGTTTCCTCATTTCGCAACACTGGCAGGGTCCCTAAGTGACATCAACTCATTTAAATCAATTTAGAGAAAATTTGCTATTTTGCTATTACCCAGTTTTTGTTCTTGAGAGAAATAAAATAAATATGATCAAGCAAGCATTCTTTAGAATATAGCATTGAACTTCAATTCAGTTGCAGGAGTTTGATTTAATCTTCCCCATGCTTCACTGGTTTGATGATCTTACAGTATTAATTATGTTTTGGATTTAGCTTCAAAGACCAGTTTTAGGAAATTTATGTGTTTTTCTTGGAGAAAATTATATATTCTTTGAATTACAACTGCAAGAAAACCATCTCTTTTACTTTTGTAAGTACCTTTTGTGCAGAAAGGAGTTGTGATTGAATGAGCATTGTAAAACAGCTATATAAGTAATTTTTTCCTCCATCTTCGCTAGTGATGGGCATGATTCGGTTTGATTAGGTTGCTAAGAGATTCGGACAGCAAAAATGGAAATTCCATCCGTGGAACTGAACGGTTCTAGCTTTTATGGAAGTGGCGGGACAGAGTTGGACAAGAACTGATATTATTAGAGTGAAAATTTATGTTTCTGTTTGACTTTTAGCGCTGCCAATGACTTTTCCAACCATGCTACAGACGGTCAGTGAAGAGTTCAAAAACAAGGGGACACATGACAGCATTTCATTGGACAATTAGGGGGAAAAAACACCTATACAGATGCTACTAACGTAGCACATGTCAAAAGTCCCTGAGCTGTGCAAGCAGCATTATTCTTACTAGAATTTCTCTTGTTCTTTGGTTAGTTATCTTGAGGATGTGAACTAAAAAGCTACATGAGACAAACTGCATGTTTAGCTAACTTCTAACAATTTCCTGATATAATTACAAGGGAACACTAAAATATATATATAATTTTATTAGTCAAAGTTAAAGATCGTCGAATTGTTTACTTTAAAAAACATAATAATAGGCATAATCGGACTAGCAAAGCCTTAGCCGATGTAAACTAGGTGCTGTGCATACTTATTTATTTGAATTGGACCTTCGCATGCCATCTCATGTTCTGGCTCGACCAGGTGACAGCGAAACTTGAACGAGAAAATGCATGGTTTCTTTCACTGTTAACCACCTAGTCTAAGAGAGAAAACACGGTGAAAAGTGCTCTAGGGGCTGGACGGTGGGGTCTTCAAGGTTTGGGTTCAACCTTTTTTTTTTTTAAAACGAGGTGAAAGGTTAGCCACCATACTCTTGCACACAGAAAAGGGGATTGAATGCTAAAATAATTCCTTTATTAAATCACTGGACAGTACAGAAGAGGAAGGTTGGCTCTCACTAAAAAGGAAATATCATTGACAGTCACTGTGTGGTCCATGAATGCAATTATGAAGAGAGAAAATGCAGTTTACTTGTTTTTGTATGTTGTCTACGTCTATGTTTGTACTGGGATTGTATTCTCTTACGTTAAAATTTGGAAAGATTGCACTGTAAAGCACGTTATAAAGAGAGGAAGAATTATTATTATTATTTTTTTTTCAAAAGCTCAAGAATTAAGAGCCAATCGCTTCCTCAAAAGTAATAAATAGAATCATAGAACAATGAAATAGCATCCAAAGCAGGTATTTTTCTTCTTCTTTTTTAATAACTTGCATATTGGAATTGAAATTTCAGAGAGAGAGTTCTACTTTTAATGACATACATAATCTTCAAAAGCTAGAACGTCAACAAAAAAAAAAACAATGGAGCGAAGATTAGATTTGCCAGCAAGATTTTTCAAAGTCATTTTACCCTCAACCACTATCCAACACAAACTTGTAAGTTTTAACTTTTATTTCTCCATGTTCTGCGTGATATGGCTTATGATTTTTCAAGATTAGCTTTTAATGTTGGAGATATTTATGTTCAGATACTCTGGTATGTCCTCTTTGCAGTTCAGTTTAATCTTGGGGATGAACTGCAGAGAAAGTCGTCCCAAACAATCCCGTCCTAGTTTCATCCCATAAGTGTAAAGACTCTGAAGGGTTGGGTCCGTATAGGGTGGGCATTTGTGGATGCTGCCCCCATTAAAGTTTGTTTCTTAAACTCTGATGTGGGCTTTTGTGGCAGTGCCAGGAATCTTGAATTTGGTGTTGGGCAAGAGTAGAGGTGGACGAGTAAAAATGATCAAGACTTGAATTTTATTGTCTTTTGATCCTTCTTATGTGGTTTTTCATAATATCTACTCGACCTCGTGGGAAATTTCGTTTGTACATATGATAAATGTCAAATTATTTCTTTGGTAAGAGATGGGGACATTGGGTATATAAGCTTTCCGAAGCAGCAGCACAAGGAAATGTGAATACTTTGAAGAAGCTGCTTCAAGAAGATCCAGTAACTTTTGATAGACATAGTTAACAGTTTCTCCGAATCTCTTTCACACTTAGCCGCAGGAAGATGCATTATAAATCTTACTCACTATATATTATTTGATAGCTCACCGTTTTGTACGTGTAAGATTTACTAGTCTTTCAATTTAACTTTTTAAGCTTAGACAAACAAGCTCTTAGTTTTGTTAAAAAAAAAGAAAAAAGAAAAAAAAAAGACTTTTAATTGATTACAATTAGAAGTAAGTTTTGTACTTGCAAGCCATATGATATTAGCTTAGTACTTTTGTACCCTCTGTTTTCATTCACTGTCTCTATACCAACTTGTGTTGATTCTAGGCTTTATTTCTTGTGAAGTCATTGTTGGGTTTTTGATACCTAATAATCCGGGCGATGATTTAAAACAGTTGTCGGATTATTTATCGACACCATGGACTTGGCTCGACTCAGAGATGAACTACACTTTTGGATGGTTCGGGTTTGGGTTGGATGATTATTTGGTTAGTTGGACCATTTAGTGATTAATATAGAGTTGAATATTGGCCCATTAGTTTAGGTTAATTGGTAGCCCGCTTAGTGAACCCTAGGCCCAATTAGAGTGACCTAAACTAACATATATATATGTATTTATCTCCCAGCCGTTTTTGGTGTGGTGTGTGTGTGTTGTAACAATGGAGAGGAGAGTTGAGAGAAGAGAGGCAATCGAGAGAGAGGGAAGCCATGTGAGGTTGTAAGTAAGATTCAACCACTGTTCTTCTTCTTCTTCATACCTTTGTGGATTGCTAACACCACCACCCTTTTCCTTTGTAGGGTTAGAGAGAAAGAGAGCAGTCCAAAGTGAAGGTGAAAGTCTTGGGTCGAGCCAAGGTAAACCGGTGTTCGTTTGACCGTGATTTGATTGACTTTGTGTTAATCTATGGTTCTAAGGAGAATCTTGGCTGCCCTCTTGGTGAGTAAAAAAACAACCCTAGAAGTGTCCAAAATACCTGTTTACTTTGTGCAATTGGTGGTTATTTCATAGTATACCTTAGTGGTGTCTTCTCCTAGCGTTTGTGGCCACAAATCATCATCATTTCTTGTCCTACGTGGGTAAGATTGCATAGCAACCAAGGTGAATCAATTGGTTGTGGTTTGGAGCCGATTGGACTGGTTGTTGGTAGAGAAAGGTGCGTTCGACTGAGCCTGAAAAACCACCGTTTGAAAATCCTTTTGAGAGAGTTTTCGCAACAAATGGTATCAGAGCTTGTGTTGTTGATAAATCTATGATTTATGGGGCTAAAAAGGGGCTGGAAGTAGTCGAAAACGGATCTGGAAATCAGAGGCAGAAACTGTTCGATTTTTCAATTTTTTGCCGGATCTGTTTTGGCATTTTCTGATGAAACCAAAAGGAGTTTGGCAAAACGGACACCACCGGTGGACTGTGCAGGTGGAGAAGAAGTCGGAAGGGTGACAAGTCGTCGGCGCGTGGGGATTACGGTGATGGTGTGTGAGGGCGCGTCCTTTGGAATTTAGCGAAGTGGTCTTAGACAGAATCTTCCCTATGACGAGATGGACCCTGCAGTGTTTTCAGATTTCAGTTTCGAGCAATACAGTGAAAGTTGGACGATTTTGCCCTTGGACGTTCGGGTGGTGCTGTTTTCGTGTTGCTATTGTTGCTGGTGACTTTAGGATAAATAGTAATAGCCCTAAAGTGGTGAATTTGCGCCTCTCGATATTTACGGACCTTTAGACGTGGTCCGCTCCGTATCGTATTCTTTGCTTTTTATTATTGCAGTTAAAATAAATGTGTAGGTTAATTATTTGTTTTTTGCATTAGAGGTCATCTTGTGGGGTGACATTAGGTTTAGGATTATCATGAAGGGGTAACCATTACCTGTTGCTAGACCTAGGAATTATTTGTTAATTATTTGCCTTAAATTCTTTGTGAATTTGCTGTCAATTTTTCTACATTATCAGAATTGCATGTGGCCTTAGGAAAGTTGACTGGACTATTCTATGTGAATTATGTTCATACTTTACTTGTTGTCATTATTTGGCATTGGTGGCAAATGTAGGTCTAAGGTAAGTGCGAAAAATAACATATATTTTAACTGTGGTAAAATTTGGACATAGTTGAAAGAGATTGTCCTAGGATGATAATAAAAGAAAAGATGAGGATAGAGACAAGGCGAATGTGGCTTTAGGTTCGAGTACTGATCCTAGTGAGGTTTATTGAGAAAATAAACCTAGTTCTTGCATTGCATCTATATGTAATCCTTTCTGCATGTATGTGGTCACTTGATTCTATTGCAATATTGATGTTACACTTTCAATAAGTTTGATGTGTGTAATTGCATGAGTTAGAGCGACTTATTACTTTGTGTAATATATTTACATACATAGTGGATTAAGTTTTGTGGTGTACTCTATTTGCTCTGTGAGTGTGTGAGAGTGTGGTAGTGAGAAGAAAGTTGGGTAGCCGTTTCTCTCCTTCATCTTTGTGAGCCTGTGTGGTTTGTGAGATTATGTGAGGCAGTCATGTTAGGGTTACCTTCTTTATCTTTGTAAGCCTCTTTTTGTGAGTGTAGTGAAGTAATCGACTCTTTCTTCGATTCTCTTTGAGAGTGCCACCTTCACTATTTTCTTTGTGAATTTTTGGGAGCATTGGTGAGTGGATTAACCTTTGTGGTCACCGAAAGGTGTTGATTTACCATAGTGAGTTTGAGATGCATTAGTAGTGAGTTGGATGTCTTTTGGTAAGGTGGAGTATAGATGCCTAGAGGTACATGGTGATTTGTACCGAGGGATGTAGAGTGTGACATTTGGATCACGAGTGGAGATGTGATCAAATGTGTAGAATCCTTTATCTGTGAAACAGACCCTGTACAGGTGGAGTGTGAGAGAGGCACTTCTATCACTTCTGTAAGGTGGAGTCTGATTATCCACGTAGGTTGGGAGAAGTGATGTGGTGATAGAGGATTATCCTGAGAGTTTAAATTCTATTGTGACTTACCAGTTAGACATGAGTTAAGTGATTAGTTTAGTGAGCATTGTGGGCGATGAGAGGAGATATGTGTTCTTGAGGTGGGAGTAACACGAAATGGGATAGGATAAGTGTAGTGAGATCTTTCATGGGGTCATTTATGCATGTGTTGCATATGTGGTTGACTGTGGTTTGATTAAGTAGGTATTAATCTGCAGTTCTGTGTGGACGAGATTTTGAAAAGATCTCTGTGTGTGTTATCCTATATATATCTTCATCGCATGATTGTTTGTTCACTGTAAATACTTGTTTCTACTTGGGTGTTATTGACCTTAGCCCTGGTGAGTACATGGAGCAAGTATGGTATGTGTTTTGATTCGAAACACGAGGTAAGGTCTGTGATTCCAATTTTATTGGATTACCTTGATTGTGCAAGTATAAACTGTGTGTTTTGATTGCTTGCAAATTATTGGGCATCAAGGTGGAGATTGTTGGTTTTTGATACCCAATAATCCGAGCGCTGATTTAAAACAGTCGTCGGATTATTTATCGACACCATGGACTTGGCTCGACTCGGAGATAAACTACACTTTTGGATGGTTCGGGTTTGGGTTGGATGATTATTTGGTTAGTTGGACCATTTAGTGATTAATATGGAGTTGAATATTGGCCCATTAGTTTAGGTTAATTGGTAGCCCGCTTACTGAACCCTAGGTCCAATTAGAGTGACCTAAACTAACCTCTCTATATGTATTTATCTCCCAGCCATTTTTGGTGTGGGGTGTGTGTGTGTGTGTGTTTTGTAGCAATGGAGAGGAGAGTTGAGAGAAAAGAGGCAACCGAGAGAGAGGGAAGTCATGTGAGGTCGTGAGTAAGATTCAACCACTGTTCTTCTTCTTCTCCATACATTTGTGGATTGCTAACACTATCACCCTTTTCCTTTGTGGGGTTAGAGAGAAAGAGAGCAGTCCAAAGTAAAGGTGAAAGTCTCGGGTCGAGTCAAGGTAAATCGGTGTTCGTTTGATTGTTTTCTGAGCCCGGAATCAAGATTTATTGAAGGGATTTTCGCTACGAAGAGCAATGGTTACGGAAGCTCTTTCAAAAGGATTTTCAAACGGTGGTTTTCTAGGCTCAGTCCAACGTACCTTTCTCAACCAACAACCAGTCCAATCGGCTCCAAACCACAACTAATTGATTTACCTTGGTTACTATGCAATCTTACCCACATAGGACAAGAAAGGATGATGATTTATGGCCACAAAGGCTAGGAAAAGACACCACAAAGGTATACTATGAAAGAACCACCAATTGCACACGTTATACAAGCGTTCTGGACACTTCTGGACACCTTTTTCTCACACAAAAAGGGGGCAGCCGGGATTCACTCTTTCTTCTCTCAAAATCACACAATCATCATAGGAAAGTTGCTAGGGTTATAGCCAAATATATATTCTAGGGTTAGGCTTTAAGTTGGGTCAATAAAGGGGTAAACGGGCCAAGATTCAAGTCATCCATAAAGAATAAAATTGGGTCGGGTGTAGCTCATGGACTTGGTTGTTGGACTTATTTCATTCATCGGCCCATACTTATGAAATAATATTAACCCACGTTAACATCATAGCCCGGAATTTATTGGGTATCAAAAACCCAACAAATCTCCACCTTGATGCCCAATAAATCTGCAAGCAATCAAAACACACAGTTAACATTTGGATAATCAAGGTAGCTAATAAAATTGGATCACAGAGCTTACCTCGTGTTTCCAACTTGAAACACATGCCATACCTGCTCCATGTACTCACTGGGACTATGGTAAAAAAAACCCAAATAGAAGCAAATATTTAACAGTAAACAATCAAGAACAAATACACATGCGATGACGATATACTATAGGATAACACACACAGATCTTTTCAGAAACACGTTCACATAGAACCATAGATTAACACCAAGTCAATCAAACCACGGTCAACCACATATGCAACACATGCATAAATGACCCTAAGAAAAGATCTCATCACATTTATCCTATCCCATTCCGTGTTGCTCACACCTCGAGAACACATATCTCCTCTCATCGCCCACCATGCTCACTAGACAGATCACTCAACTCATATCTAACTGGTAAGTCACAATAGATCTTAAGTCCACGGGATAATCCTCTATCTCCACATCACTTCTCCCAACCTACGTGGATAATGGGTCTCCACCTAACAGAAGTGATAGAAGTGTCTCTCTCACACTCCACCTGATCAGGGTCTCATTCCAGATAAATGATCCTAGACATTTGATCACATCTCCACTTGTGATCCAAATGTCACACTCCACATCCCCGGTACAAACCACCATGTACCCCTAGGCATCTATACTCTACCTCACCAAAAGACACTCAACGCACTGCTAATGCATCCTAACCCATTATGCATACAAGCAATTACACCAAGTAATCCTAATGTCTCAAACTCATGCAAATGCACATATCAAACACATTGAAATGTAGCAGATAATCATGCAACAAAATTTAGACAATCACACACAGATGCATATGCAGTGACTAGGTTTACACTTAATAAACCTCACTGGGGTCATAACTCAACCCCTTAACCAAATTCGTCTCACCTCTCATCTTTTCGTTCAGCTTATCTTTCTTCTTAGGACAGTCCTTAATAAAGTGTCCAGACTTACCACAACTGTAACACCTTCTACTACTAGACTTGTCTCGTCCCTTGCCCTTCTTCTTACTACTCTCATCACTCGAGTCATTACTCGAATCACTACCATCTTGAGTTCTACCCAAATTCATTTGCTTAAACTTCATCCTACTCCTCATCATATGTAACTCGCCACTCCTCTTATCCTCTTATTCCTTCTGGATGGTTTGAATCTTGACCCGTTTACCTCCTTAATGGCCCAACTTAAAGCCTAACCCTAGAGTATATATATGGATATAACCCTAACCTCTTTCATGTGATGTTTTGTGAGACTTTGTGTGAGAAAAAGGAAAATCTCGGCTGCCCTCTTGGTGAGTGAAAAAACAACCCTAAAAGTGTTCAAAATACCTGTTTACTTTGTGCAATTGGTGGTTCTTTCATAGTATACCTTTGTGGTGTCTTCTCCTAGTCTTTGTGGCGATAAATCATCATCCTTTCTTATCCTACGTGGGTAAGATTGCATAGCAACCAAGGTGAATCAATTGGTTGTGGTTTGGAGCCGATTGGACTGGTTGTTGGTTGAAAAATGTGCGTTGGACTGAGCCTGGAAAACTACCATTTGAAGATCCTTTTGAGAGAGCTTCCGCAACAGTCATGAACAATGATCTTCTTCCTGTTGTTTATCCATAAAGATAATTGCCTAGGCCTCGTAGATTTCCTCATTTTTTGTTCGATTCTGAGAGCCTTTGAATGTCCCAATTTTTTTACAAAACCTGCCATGATATTATGATTTTGTGCCAACAGTCCTCCATGTGAATTGTTCTGTTACAAACACCACAAGGTCGAACTTTTCCCTCCTCTTTGGCGAACTCTATCATTCGCTGTTTGATTCTCTATCCAAGTTGAAGGCTCATAAGCCTTATTTTTACTGTTTCCTGTGGATCATACTCCATCAAGAAAGCTTTCGTTTTTGCTGCCTGTAAAAAAGGAGGTGCAGGCAAAGAAAAAGGCATATTCTACGTTCAAAACATCTCTAACTAAACTGTTTGTTTTGAAAATACAAGATTTACTGCCAAACATTTGATTCATAACAGATAAACTTGCGTGTTTTACAACTAGAAACAAAGAAGTAGACATACTATAATTTGTGCAGAGGCTCCCGAACACTTTTGTGGAGGCATACAAGCACGAACTCTCCAATGTTGTCGAACTCACTGATCGAATTGGTGGTATTTGGCTTGTGAGATTGGAGGAGGAGGAAGAGATACTTTGGCTTGATCGTGGTTGGGATAAGTTTTTTCAGGACCAATCCATTGAACATGGATACTTTGTACTCTTTAAATACAGAGGGAACTCGAGCTTCAAAGTCCACATATTTGACATGACAGCCACTGAGGTTCACCATCCATTATGTAACAGTCGTAATTTTGGACAAACCAGTTATCGTCCAAGGAATTCTCTCCCTGAAAGAGAAGAGCAAAGTGATGACGATTCTGTTACAATTCCAGATTCCGTCCCCACAGAACTATTGGCCCGCCCTTTGAGAAGTGTTGCTCCAAATGGACATGTGGTTCGGTCAAGACGAGGTAAAGCACACAATCATGAAAATTTGCACACTTTTTTCAACTGAAATTGCCAGAATTCCAGTAGGTTTTGTTTATTTGCTTGTGGTTCTCGAAATGATTTCCTTATATGTGCATTCCTGAATCTAGATGAAAAGCGATCATGCCGTGGTAGAAAAAGGAACTTGGGGAAGAAGGCCATACACAATACAGGAACAAATCTGCTTACATATCCTTCATTCACGGTCAAAATGAAACCTAACCTGACTCCACGATGGGTATTGGTATGCTCTTGAGCTCTACATTACTTGTTTTTATTACATATCCTTCATTCACTGTCAAAATGAAACCTAACCTGACTCCACTTTTTTTTCATTTTTTGGGGTCTCTGAAGTACGTGCCAGCTCAATTTGCTAGGGACCATCTGCCAAATTTTCCGGGGCATATTGAACTTCACGATTCTGATGGTAAGAGGTGGCCGGTTAGTGTCAATATGAGACATGGTTTGGTGCGTTACTTATGTTGGGCGACATTTGCAAAAGCCAAAAAAATAAAGGTTGGCGACGTGTGCGTGTTCGAACTAATCCATGTCAATAAACCTGTTGCCCTGAAAGTCTCCAAGCTTTGCAAGACGAGCAGAGTGCTGAGACAAATATGAGACATCAGACTGGGAATGATTTTCAGTTAGGAACAAATCAGTTTTACTTTGATTAATTCCCCCATCCCCTTCCCTTTTAGTGTTTTGAGAGAAGCAGACTTTGTGGCTAATGAAAAATTGTAATGAAAATTGAAGACAATTTCTGAATGTAGTTAAAAGCAAGAACCATGCTTGAACATCTAACCTTACCTTCAAAAACTTTTTTTTTCTTTTGCTTTAATATGTCATTATCAGCAGTATACTATAATCAATACAGAATTCTGTTATTTTATAGATACATAAACCTCAACAACACACCCCAGAGACACAGAGAGCGTTCTTATTTCGTTTCTTTTTAGGGCTTTGAAAGGAGAGGATTCTACTTTGAACAGTGTTTACGATCATATTAATGTCTCTTTTTCTTGAAAGTTAAGAATTATGCTTAGATGATTCGGGTTCTTGTATTGGGTGGTAACCCAAATTCAGTTTCTGATCATGCTTTAGAAAGAGAATATATATATATGGAATTTGAATGTCTGCATTTCAAACAGCAATCTTCCATTATCCCTTTTTATTCTAACAAAGTTTGATCAATTCTATCATAAGAAACAAGTGAACTCTTACTACTACAATTCCAAATAAACCCTAGTATTTCAATGTAGGAGTTTCTTCAGTTTCATTATTAAATTATCATTTCATTACATCTCTGTCTAGTTCGTGGAATTTCCTTTTCACAGGTTGCAAATAATTTAACAATGACAACAGCCTCGACTGCGTTCTCTCTGGCAACAGTTCTGGCTGCAGCCATTGTTGATGTTAAAATTTGAATGTGACTCGAACTCTTTGTTGAAGATAAATTGAGATTATTAACTAAAGTGCATGTTAAGAGGAATTTTATTTGAAATTCTTTTGGAATCTTATTCGAAGTTTTTCTATTTGAAAGTCTTATTAGGAGTTGGAATTTGTATTGGACTTAAAGATAAGATAAATAAACTTTTAGGCATTCTATTTCATCTATAACTCTACTTTTAATGCTTTGATTGTTCCCTATATAAAATATAATATTTGTAAATTATAAACACAAAATATTTGTATTCATTTTTCATATTATAATAAAATCTTCATTTTCTGCAAATTATTGTATTCTTGTAATCAATTACTACATATTGTCGTTATAATCTCTTATTTTCTCCAACAACTTGGTATTGGATTAATTCGGTTATTATCTTCCGCTTTTAACAACAAACTGGTATCAGATATGTTCTGCTTTCAAGAAAATGGTTTCTGATTTGGTCCAGATTATAACAGTTTAACCCTGCCTCATTAACCCGTAGAAGGATTAAAGTAAATTATGTTAAGTGGATTGAACTCATTTAGTGGAATGAAAGTAAATAAGTGTGGCATCTTTGGTGAGTCTTCCGGTTTGCACTGAGTATTCATTTGCTAAGATCGTTAATTCATTCAAACAGCCATCGCAGGGTTGTGGAAGAAGTTGTGGAGCTCTTTCTTCCACCCGTAGGGCAGTGGAGGAGATTTTCAAGATTGCTGCCATTATTCCAGGAGTGATTCTTGTTGGAGTGGCAATTGGCTTTGTTTTTCTTCAAAATAAAACTTTTGTGGAGGAATCTGAATGAGGAAATTCGAATGTTTCTATTACTTTCAATCAACAATACTCTTTATTGATCCTTTCTTGAATGAAGAATTCAATGTTATTGTTCTGTATTAGGCAGAGTTCAAGTGCCACTGCAGAGGTTAAATGATGTACAATTTCTTGAATATGTTATCTACTAATTGTTGGGTTTGTGACCCAAATTAGGGTGGATTTTTTTGGATTTCCTTATTCCAACTTATTTCCATCTTTATGCTATACTATGTACTTATAAATAGTGGTATTTTCTTTTAGTTTTGTTCAATCAAGAATTGGTGGATTCTTGTATTTCTCTCCATATGGTCGATTAATAAAACATCGTGCTTCTGCGATTAACTCTATTTGTTGATTTCTTTACTTTTAGATCTTATTTCTCATTGCGATTTTCATTACTTCATATTGTGTCATTAATTTTATTCCTTTTGGGTCCAACAAATGGTATTAGAGTTTGGTTCTTATTGTGGATAGGTTGAGATTTTTCAGAGATGGTTTCTTTGAAGTATGATATTCCGTAATTGGATCGCAATACAAGATTTTTTCTATGACAAGTAAAGATGGGAACTATTTTGGCACAGTTGGATTTGGATGATGTGTTGATAGATTTTGAGAAGATGCTAGCTAATTGGATAACAGAGGAAAAATAATGGAGGGATCGGAAGACTTTGTCATTAATTCATATTCATCTATCCAATAATATTCTGCAGGATGTCTTGAAGGAAAAAACATCATCTGCTTTGTGGTTGAAAATGGAGCAGTTATATATGATCAAGAGCCTTATAAGTAAACTGGCTGTAAAACTGAAACTGTATTCCCATCGCATGGTGGAAGGAGGGTCGTTGGAAGACCATATTGTCGTGTTGAAGAAAACTGTCACAGATTTGGAGATGTTGGAGGTTAAGTATGATAAAGCAGATCTTGCCTTGATCCTGTTATATTTCCTGCCTGGCTCTTATGCGTTGTTTCGGGACGCCATTTTGTATAGTCAGGATACTTTGACTATAGACGACGTCTATGATGGTTTGCACTTAAATAAGAAGTTGAAACATTTGGTTAGAGCTACATCGAGGGATGAGGAAACTATGGTATCTCATGGTGATTGACGGAGGAGAGATTGGGGATGAACTTCAACAATTTGTACTGCTTCTACTGCAGGAGAAAAGGACACGTAAAGAAATATTATGACAAGTTGCAGACTTAAGGTAATTTAGCTGCAAATTATAGGGGGCAATTCTATAATTCGAACGTGACTAATGTTACCGAGAATTTTTTGGATGGCGAAGATGTGTTGTTAACCGTGGCATCTTCATGGAGTCTAAACCTGATGATGAGTGGATTCTCGATTTGGCATGTTCGCATCATATGTATTTCAATTGGAATTTCTTTCAAACATATGAGACTGTCAAGCAAGGTAGAGTTGTGATAGGAAACAACCAATCTTGCCGTATTGCTGAAATCGGTTGAGTTTGACTAAGGTTGCAGGATTGGACAATGAGAACAATTGATCAATTTCGACATATTCCGGATCTGAAAAGGAATCTTATCTTGCTGAGTACCCTGGATGTAAAGGAGTATTAATTCTCTGGTATAGGTGGAGTTTTGAAGGTCCGAAGGATTGTCCGGGTTGTACTTGAGGGACAGAGAACGTCTCAGTTGTATATCTTGCAGAGGAACGCAAAACCAATTAAGAGACATTTGGACAAGTTCAGTACCGTGGTGGATATACAGTTTGGTACAGTACCTCTTGCGGCGAGCTCTGAGTTGATTAAGAACACTACTAGGGAAAGCGTTGGTGATTTTACTTTGCCACCAATTTTAGCAGATACACTGTGTTCATTTGCTAAGGTTGGACTCATGGAGCGTAGGTACCGTGGTGTCAATAATGTTTGGGATTTTTTGGGGACGTTGAATGTGACAGTTCTAGCAATGGGCCTTTTGATCCATCATGTGGTATAGTTTTTGCTAAAGAGTGTGCTTCGACCCTGTTTGATCAAGAGTGGTTTCTCAGTAGAATTTTGAAAACCCAAGATTTGGGTTCAGGTATCGCTTGTGGACGCCTTGTAGCGAACAACAGTTTGGTTTTGGGAGTTTTGGTTACTGTGTTGAGGAATTGGCTATTTCGATGCATACGGATTTGAAATCTCGAAGTTCCGTTTAATGCACCAGAATTTGGGTCAAAGTGGAGATTGTTGGGTTTGTGGCCCAAATTAGGATGAATTTTTTTTAAAATAAATTGTTTCCTTATTTTTATGTGAAAAAAATTGTTTCCTTATATTTCATGTGATATTTATGGAAATATACTATTTCCTTATTTCAAATTATTTTCATCTTTATGTTATGTTATGTACATATAAATAGTGATCTTCTCTTTCGATTTTGTTCAAATAAGAATTGCTAAGTTCTTATATTTCTCTCCATATTGTCAATTAATAAAACGCCATGCTTCTGCGATTAACCCACTTTATTAATTTCTTTACTCTCTAATCTTGTTTCTTGTTGCGATCTTCATTACTTCATATCGCGTCATTAATCTCATTCACTACATTTCTTCCGAGTCCAACACTATTCATTACTTGAATATCGTCCATTACTTCCTATAATTGAATCAAAATCAAAATTCATTCTCGAAGGCAGATTTGCATGAAGAATCTTATATCAGAATAATATTAATATATAAGAAATATAATACAGCATACAATGCCAGAGCACATAGGGCGAGTGTTTAACTCGAATAAAAGTACATTTTTACACTGCCAAATTAGCTTGATCAACATATGTTATTCTCTTCAAATAATAGACATACCGAAGGCTGGATACAAGTAATTCACAACACAATAGCAGACAGATTTCAAATTATTGATAGTTAGATATATAAATTACGTAGTTAATTACGAACTTGCAGTTGGATTTGCTTGAATCCAACATCATTCAACTGCGTGCTATTAAGTTTCTCGTACTCAGGTGACATCCTCGGTGGCATCTGCTGTCTATCGAAAACCAGAGAAATACATGATACAATCATCAAAATTGCTGCAAGTATCCAACTAAACTGCAAGTTAGCCATCGCTCTTGCTCTCAAATCCGCCTCGTGTGTTTCACATAGAACGGCTCCTACCATGATACTGTTGCTAGCATTACTCGACTGAACAGAGCATCCATGTGGGATGAACTTACGAACCCATAACACGAATCCCATGTTAATGAGCCAACAACCTTGGAAAATGACAGAAACTGTAAGAACAAGTGCCGCAGGAAAGCTAGCAGGGAAACAAGTTGCAAATATTGCTGCCACAAGGGAAATGCAAACTATAAGCTGCAGCAGCCAGTGGTAATGCCCTTCAAGTCCAACATGATCAGTTGAATGAAAATGAAGTAGGAAAAGTTCTTGTCCGAAAACCGAGGCTGCAAGAATTCCCGACACACCTACCGGAGTATCAGTCGAACTATTGAACTCCGAGAATAGTGTGTAACCTGCAAATATAGCTAGGTGGAGAAACATAGTTGCATGTTCAAAATTGTCTAGCTTGAAGGAGAATTGCATGTATGGGAAGTCTATGACTTGCATTAACATAGCAAATACTGAAAATGTCAAGACAAGAATGAGTTCGATGTGTTCTAGTTTGCAGAGAGGAGTCTTCAATGGATACCAAAATCTTAACATAAACTTAGTATGGCCTTTTTTGTAATAAGCTCCAATGGTGTTTATAGTATGCCATAGACCAAGGAAGGCAAGGGCAAAACCAGGTACAAGATGGCCAAGAAGAGTTCCCATTGAAGTTTATGATTCAGAGATGATTATGTTCACTCCATAGTGAATACCTACTTAAATACTTGATTGTTGTGCCGCGAACCTACTATGTCGTCTAAAAAGAATTGTTGTGAAAAAAGAAACTTTTATACTCTTCTCCTTCTATATTGAAAAAGTAATGCTATTTAGCATCAATGGTATCATCTAAGTAGCATTAAATGAGAAGAACAATTATACGAATAACATAATTTTACCTTTAATTATATCTATCACAATGTCACCTAGATTAATATTATAGTAGTGGTGGCGAGCAGTATTCATAATGAAAATCTATCTCGACAAGTGTATGTGACTCTCATATTAAACATGATGCTCTTTCTGTCTCATTTATATGGGTCAATTTTCTTTATTTTCTTGTCCCAGTTATATATAATCTTTTTTTTTTTTATTGAGAATGCTTTGTTTTATTCGTTTATTAATATACCCTTATTTAATTTGCATAATTATAATCAAAATTTCCCACTTAATTTTGAAATTTTATAAATATAAATAAATGTAGACTAGAAATTTTTTTGGCAAAAATTGTTTTTTCAATAACATCAAAAAAAAATTCTTAATTCGTGTGTAAACAAAACCAACCTCTATAAATGGGATAATATCTTTGTGTTTAGTCGATGTGTTTTCTATTTTATTTATATTGTGTTGCTCTTGTAAGTAAAGGTTGTAAGGGCATCTCCAATGTACACCTCATTGCACCAAATTGTACCATTTTTTGGTGCAAAGTTGCTCCAATGCAACACTATACTTTGCACGATTTTGGAGCAAAATGGTGTAAAATGAATAATGTTACAACAAATACGGTGCAAAGTGATAAACGTCTATTTTGCCATTTTCTTCTCCTTTTCCAAATACTTGGTGAAGCGTAGTTGTGTCATTTGCGCAATATATTTTTCAATAATAATTAATAAATTAATTAAAAGAAGAAAAAAATTTAAAATATAACAAACACGATTAATTAATGAATTTAATTTTTTCCGTAATTTAACGTAATTATTTATTTAGTAATTTATGTATTTTTAAAATAATTAAATAAATATATTATAAAGAATAAATAAAGGGAAGAAAATTGTTAAAAACTGTTCATTTGGTGTAATGGTTGGAGGTGAATTTTAATTTAATGCAAAATTTGGTGAAACGCTGAAAATGGCCTAATTCATTTCATGAGACGTGTTTATTGACGTCTTATCAATGATTTGGTGCATGATGCATGCGCATTCCACACACTAATATATTTATTCATAGCCCTTTTGTTTTGCTACCAATAACTTTACGCACGGCGTTTCAATGTTATTTAAATAAAAGAAAGCACGAGAAAGGTGAATGCCCCTTGGTGAAATGTAGGGGATGCTGACAAAGAGAGAACTAAATCGAAATTATTCATTGACCAAATGAATTTTTTTGTCTATTTGACTTTTTGATCTAAAACAATTAGATACTTAGTAACTACAAAAAAATCGTGTTAATTTGATCTACCATATTTCTTCTAACTTGTTCTTAGTGAGAATCAAATCAAATCTCTTATAAACTATAACCTCTTTATGTTCATGAAAATTGAAAATTATGTCAATTTCTTAACTCGAGTTAGTCAGTTTGAGCGCAAGGCTGGAATTCATGATTCTAGTGGATTCACCTAGGATGGCAATCGGACTTACAGGCTCGAGCTGCTAGTGACTCGGCCCTGAGAAAGCTCGAGCCGGCAGCTAAACTGCCGACAAAGGCAGCATATAAAGCTGCCTGTTGAGGCAGCTAAGATGAGAAAAAAAAATTCCAAAAAATTGAGCCGACTTAGCTTGATAAGGCTCGAGCCTTCGGGTAGAGCCTGAATTTTTTGGCCGAGCTTTTGCTCGGCTTGACTCGAGTCAAGAAAAGCCCGCCTTAAAAAAGTCCGAACCGAGAGTTTCTGCTCACAAGTCGGCTCTGCTCATTGACACCCCTAGATTCAACTATGCTAAGCCTCATGGAGTAAAGTAAATAAGGGTCACCACAGCCACTTTATTTTTAAAAAAGCACGATAACAGTGGACTGCCAATCAATCAATTACAACATGTCAGATGTCCATGATTGATTGGAAACTGAATAATTATTGGTAATCTGTAGATCCATTCAAGGAAGAATGATGAATCTACAAAAGATAATAGAGACAAATATACAGGGCATACACACCTTTCTAGCATGTAGTGGAGAATGATACATCTTCAAATAACCAATGAAGAAAATAACACATTCCTACTTTTTCAAGAAAGTGTGTTAAAACTTCAGCATTCAAATGAGATAATTCCAGGAATATTACCTTTGCTGAGTATGCTTGCAGTAGATGTTTATTTGTGGAGTCCACATTACCCATGATTACAGAAAGTTACCTTTGAAGAGACAAAATTAAGGTCTACCAGATAATGCTATATAGTAGGATTTGTATCGGCTGTGAGCCTGCGTGTGCTAAAATTGATAGAAATTTGTTCGAGTTGGGCGCCCAATAAGTGAACAACAGAACTGGATGGATTTATAAACAGGCAAAATTGATTTGAAACTCTCCATGAATTAGCTAGAGGATCAAAGAGAGGAACACGCTTACATGCTCAAGGAACTAGAGTCTGATTAGGTAGTTCGGGAGACAATAACAAATTAAGGAGATAATCAGTAGCTATATCTAGAAGATGGTAAGCCAAATGGAACCGAGTCATGGCCCAAACTCTTCAAGAGCCGAGAGTGGAGAATTTTCTACAATGGGCAAAAAAGCCTCCAAGACAAAACAATGTCGTGTGGAGGCTAGAAGGCTCATGGGTCATGAACTTTTTCTCAAAGAATCGATCACTTTATTCGAAGATCAAATATACTAGCCACCTCAATTAGACAAAAGATGCAAAGTCTTATCCAGAAGATTAGTTATAAAGCATCTGTAGTTGGCATTTCAAGTACACACTCAAATCCCACGACTTAGCCTTGGACAGTCGAGCGGAACTAACATTTTTAAATATATTGCATCATATGCAGAAATTTTATTTTGCAAAAATTGAATGCAGACAAGTAACTCTCACACCTTTTGAAAATACACTGGATGTAATTCTTCTAAGAGTATGATGCAGATATACAACAATCAGATTTTTTACAACTCAAGGAGCAGAAGTTACAGAAGTCATACAATAATAGACAACTTATGGTAACAGTAGATCTTAATCCAGAGTACATTTAGACTCCAGAGATGTGAATAAAAATTCAAAAGTACCTCTACAATTTTACCAAACCTATAGGCACATAATTGAATATGAAACTACCACTGACATTTTATTGAGCATCCATTGAAAATAAGAGCTCCTCTAGAGGCAGAAGCATTAAAGTAAAATACTTCCTAATTGACCAAAGATTAGACATGAAAATCTGTACTTTACATTGCTTCCCGTATTCTCAAGGACTTTTTCAACGAAGTTACAGATGCAACCCACTAAAACTATTGCCTTTGGTAAATGAATTTCAAGCTTCAGCCTCCTACCCCATCATGAAAATACTAAAAAAAAAACTGCCTTCAGGTTTCTAAATTTTCATAGAAACTCACTTATACACAAGTGCATATAACACCTGAAAACTTAGACCCTGTTTGGCCCCAATTTCTAAAACTCATTTTTCCTCAAACTTATTTTCAACCAAAAATTTCATGGAACCTTCAACTTTTATTAACTTTTTTAACCAAACATTTCATCAACTTTTATTAAAATCTACTAATAATCTGATTTTAGTTAAACGAAATAGGGGCTTATAAAACTGCTTAAAAGCTACAATTACAAAGTAATGCCATGAACAAACAAAGTTGATTGGTTAACAAAACTCTCTTCTAAGCAAATGCAAATTTAGGATAGTTAAAAGCAAATCAACGAGAACAATAGGAGCATAACTTGACACTTATATCAACATGGATATATGCAAAGTCATAAATTAAACACTGTATAACACGTCCAGTTATCATCTAAAATTAATGTACTAATGTTATTTGATTTCTTCATGTACAGAGAAAGATTAAACTATTGTCCAACTCATTAGCAATTTATGCACATTTCACAGCAAACGAGTCAGTTAAGAAAAAACCTAAAGCATGAAACCATGATTACTCAAAACCGAGCTTTTGCTATCACATGAGAACAGGAGACGACAAGTTCAGCATGTTGCAGTGTGGAATGCAATGCAGAAGCTACAATTAAAGCAACAGATAATATGACAGCTCTGTACTTGTGTTTTAGGAATACTGACTCTGAGAAGAAACAAACAAAAAATAAAAATGGGACAGAAATTTACTCCAAAAACAAATCCCTGCTCCAAGTCAAGTTATATTTATAACTTAAGTTGGTGAAGACATACTCAACTCATTAATTTTACCCTTAAAATAGTTTAGGCTAAGAAATTACCCCGGATTTTAACGAGTCCCTTAAATGTCTTTTAGAACATCCAAAATAATTCTAAACAATCACTTCATGAAATACATAAGAAACTTCAGAACCCAATTATCAATGAACTCATCGTTCTGCTCAGTCACAAATCTCTTATTAATTTAACCACATATAATTACAAAAAGGGTTAAAAAAAAAGAAAAAAGAAAAAAAAAAGAGAAGGCAATTGTTTATCTTCTCTAGCTAAATTCTGTTGGGCTACTGTAAAAGAACACAAATATGATCCCGGAAATATTGCAGATAAAAATATTGGGCGAAATAAAATTACGATTTTGCATTATCAAATCCCACGTTATTCTTTCTCTAAATAGTACAAAAATTCAGCCCTTACAAACCTCTTATCCAAACAAAATCTATGACCATCGCATTTTTCTTTTTAAGATCAAATTCCTCACAGCAACATATAAAATTATGACAAAATTGAAACCTGAAACATTTCAAGCTACTGCTACGGGCTGCTGCTTCTCGGGCTCAATTTTTTTCTTGGGCTCCTGAAAGTCCTCGAGATTGTAGATGACTGTGATATACAAAGAACAGCTAGGGCACCGCGCAATATCCTCGCCGATCCGCAAATCCTCTTTCGTTATCTGGAAAAGGTCTCCACAAGGGCATGGGTATGTAAAAGCTTGCAAGTCCTCGTTCCACTCCATGTCCTCGATCTCCACGTCGTCGTACGACATCGTTCTGATAACTCCAAGGCCTTTTCCCTTTTTTCCTCGCCGCCTGGATTGGGGTCTAGGTTTTGCCGGTTAGGAGAATTTACAGACCTAAGTGCGGAATCCGAAGGTCGTATGTATACCTTTCTTAGCTGTTAGGAGAAATTACTTTTCAGTTGTTACCTTTACAAATTGGATAATTCTAAATTTACATAATGTTTATTAAATAATTTATCTATTTTCACAAATATGTAGATTTCGCGTGAATAAAATAATTCTAACATGTGGTCCCCACATTTCTAATGTGAGTGTATATAAAGTATTAGGTAAAAAAAAATTAGATACATCTAATATGATCCTTACAAATAATTGTTCAAGATTCAATTAATATTAATTTTGCTATAGTACACAATTTATGATAACTTAATTAAAATATTAAATAATAAAAAAAATTCATAATACTATAACCAAAAGAAAAAAAAACCAAATCCAAAGGCCCAAACCCATCCTGTCTACCGCCACGGCCACCTCCACCTCCACCTCCACCTCCAACGCCAACACCCTATTAAACAAAACCATCAACAAGTCATTACTACCATGCCATTACCGTTACTGTTACCTTTACAATTACCACTACTTTTTTTTTTTGTTGTTTTGTTACATAAATCTTTTTTCATCATTTGGATCATAGATTAGTTGTTAAAAAGGAAAAATGAACCTGATAGTGACATTTCCAGCAGCCCGATCACAAAATTATCCCGACGACTATTTTCGATAAACTTTTAACTCCAACTCTGGAGTCCTCAAGCATGTGGTGGCCTCGAGACATTATGCCCAACCACATCCCGCCTGGCTGCTTCGCATATTGCAATACTTGTCCTCGAGCATCAGCAGTCCTCGAGCATATGCTCACTTCACAACCTACGATTGTTGACCCTTTAGAATTCTTACGCAATTAGGACTCTAACTCAACCATATATTTGACTCCTGCAAGGTTCTATCCCACATATAATTATGGAATTTACCAACTCCTTAACTATTTAGGACTCCAACAGATAAGGACATCCAGCTAGTTGAGTCCCACTAGGAGAATGTCGCTTACTACTATAAATACAGAACTTTGAGCCATTATTCAGGTACGTTTTTCATTATTCTCCAGCATATAGTCTCTCACATATAATTCCTTTTCTGACTTAAACATCGGAGGAACGATGAGAATACACCTCGTTGCCTTTCTTTCAGGTATCGAAAGATTACGATCGTGATCAACCCGAATCATCAAGCTCGGGAAATCTGCAGGTACGAATTTTGGTAGCATCATTGACGCCGTCTGTGAAAAAAACTACCAAAAGCCATGGTTAACACGCGATCAGGTCTTCCTCCTGCAAGCTCATCCGCTCCCATCTCTCATCCTGCCGAAGATCAACCAGCTCCTCATGAAGAATCCTCGGGAGTGCCCACACCTCTGCCAGCAGTCATTACAACTGAAGCCTTTGAAGAGCTTCGTCAGTAGGTGGCCACGCTCACGCAACTGTTAAGTCAAAGAAATTCACACCGTCGCCAGCACAGGCGGAGCATGGCGATTTTATGGCCGATGCTCGAGCATGACCACCAAACCCAACAAATGGCAGAGTTGGAACATCGGGCATTCATAATATGGCCTCGGGCTCGAGATCGGTCGCCATGGATTCCGGTGAAATTGCCCGGATCATTCAAGAAGGAATTACAACTGGCCTGCAACGTAATGCTCGAGGGTCAACAGGCTTCACCTTTAACACTCCATTCACACCAGAGATATTGACATATCCCCTGCCCGACAGATTCAAGTATCCTCGCATTAAAGAGTATGATCGAACGACCGACCCCATCAACCATCTCAATGTATACACTGATGTCATGAACTTGCAAGTTGCGCCGGATCAGGTTATGTGCAAAGCCTTTCCACAAACGCTGACTAATGCTGCTAGGGATTGGTTCTCGACATTGGAGCCCAACTCCATAGCCTCATTCTCAGATTTGGCTGATAATTTCTCAGCCTTCTTTGCAAATAGCAAGCGAATTAGGAAGACCGCGGCCTCTCTCATGCAACTTCGCCAGGGACCAACCGAAACCCTGCGAGGATTTATAACAAGGTTCAACAAGGAAAGGCTTCAAATACCCGACCTCCACATCACAGCAGCTGTCTCTGCCCTCACTTACGCCGTAAGATGTGAAGGTTTCGAGATGTCTTTATCAAAGACCCCGTCGCAGACAGTAACTGAGCTCCTCACCCGAGCTGAAAAATACATCAATAAGGAGGAAACACTAAATCCAAGGAGACCTGGTCCTTCTCATGAAAAGACCGAGAACAAAAGGCAACATGATCCCGTCCCCAGGCATGAGGTTCCTCGGGATAAGCGCAGGATCGAGGCGCCATCAGCACCTCTCACTCGATTGAACACTTCTATGACAAATATTTTGATGGAGGTTAAGGATATTAAAGAATTAAAGTGACCTTCAAGGATGAAGTCGACCCCTGACACAAGAGATAGGAGCAAGTATTGCGAATTTCACCGGGATCATGGGCATACTACAGAGGACTGTCATGCTTTACAGCGAGAAATTGAAGCCCTTATCAAAAGAGGATTTTTAAAGAATTACATTGGTCATGATAAACGGCCAAGGAATGACTAGGACAATCGAAAAGAGCCTGGGGATGGAAGCAGTGCTTAACCCACTGCCGGAACCATTAATACTATCGTTGGGGCATAGCATCCGGTGGAGACACAAGTAGTGGGCAGAAGCAGTATGCCCGCCAACATGCTCATACCCCAAGAGAATCTAGTGATGAAATTAAAGACATCACTTTTGGTGCAAGAGATTTGGAAGGAATATCATATCCTCAAGATGATGCCTTGGTCATTTTTGCGGTTGTGCCTAACTTCAAAGTAAAGAGGATTCTGGTTGATAATGGGAGTGTCACGAACATACTATCGCAGGAGGCTTTCGCCAAAATGGGAATCTTTCCCAAGCAGCTCAAAGCAGTAAAAACTCCCCTACAAGGATTTGGTAGTGGAATCATTATCCCTGAAGGCATCGTCGAGCTCCCGCTTACGTTAGGAGCTGGTAGTACACAAGTGACGTAGATCACACCATTCCAAGTGGTTAACACCCCAATGGCCTACAACATCATTCTGGGAAGACCCCTACTAAACAAGATCCAGGCTATTGTGTCAACTTTCCACCTCGCCATGAAGCTCCCCACAGGTCATGGCATCGGAGTAGTTCGAAGGGACCAAACAGCGGCTAGACAGTGCTATGTTACAAGCATCCGAGACATGAGTGCTGACGTCATGCAACTCATAGACCTCGAGCTCGAGCTCGAGCTCGAGCCAAGGGGTAGATTGGCCCCCGTTGAGGAATTGGAAGTGGTCGAGCTCAAGCACGAAAAAGCCGTTACTATTGGTCGGGATCTGAAGGCCAACCTCCGAGAGGAAGTCATCAGTTGTCTGTCCTGCAACATTGATGTTTTTGCATGGAAGGTGGGAAATATGCTAGGGATAGACCCAGAAATAGCTGTCCGTAAAATTAATATCAGCCCAGGGGCCAAACCTGTTAAGCAAAGGAAAAGACAATTTGTGCTGGAAAGACGTGTGGTCATTCAGGAAGAAGTCGGCAAATTGTTGGGAGCGGGGTTCATAAGGGAAGTCCAATACCCCGATTGGCTCGCTAATGTTGTTCTGGTGAAAAAGCCCAGCGATAAGTGGAGGGTCTGCATTGACTTTACAGATCTGAATAAGGCATGCCCAAAGGACAGCTACCCGCTACCTAGGATCAATAATCTTGTGGATAGCACATCCGGACATAAGTTGTACAGCTTCTTAGATGCATTCTCAGGGTATCATCAAATCCTCATGGCCAAAGAAGACCAAGAGAAGACTTCATTCATGGCCGATTCAACCATATATTGCTATAGGGTGATGCCATTTGGGTTGAAAAATGATGGGGCAACATATCAGATGCTCATCAACAAAGTCTTCGCCAATTTGATAGGGAAGAATATCGAGGCCTATGTGGATGACATGGTTGTAAAAAGTAAGAAGGTGGAGGAACATATATCCGACCTTGAGGAGGTGTTAGCCACCCTACGAAAATATAAGATGAAGTTCAACCCAGAGAAGTGTGTATTTGGCATAGCTTCAGAAAAGTTTCTGGGTTTCATGATCACTCATCGGGGGATTGAGGCTAACCCCAAAAAAATTCAGGCTCTGGCAGTAATGGAATCACCAAGGACCAAGAAAGAGGTTCAAAAGTTGATAGGCAGGGTAGCCGCCTTAAATAGGTTCATGTCCCGAGCATCAGACAAGTGCTTCCCCTTCTTCAAAGCCCTCAGGGGTAACCATTACTTTGAATGGAATGAGGAGTGTGAGAAGGCTTTTCAAGAGCTCAAGCAGACATTGGAATCTCCTCCTATCCTCACCAAACCCGAGCCCGGAGATACTCTGTATTTGTACTTAGCCGTATCTCAGAATGCAATGAGTGGTGTCTTGGTAAAAGAGGTTAACAAGGGCCAGCAACCCATTTATTACGTAAGCAAAGTCCTACTTGATGCAGAAATAAGATACACTTTGATAGAGCAACTTGCCCTTGCACTGATAGTAGTAGCACAAAAACTTCGGCAATATTTTCAGTCACATCCTATTGTTGTGCTTACCAATCAGCCTCTGAAACACATTCTTCAGAAACCAGACGTCTCAGGAAGATTACTAAGGTGGGCAATTGAACTCGGAGAATTTGACATAGAGTTCAAGCCCCGTCCATCTATCAAAACTTAGGCCTTAGCTGACTTCATTGCAGAACTCACTCTAAGGCCTCGGGGGCTAGATAGTAGCTCGAGCTCGAGCATAACTTCGTGGGAAATTTTTGTAGATAGAGCATCGAACTCCTTGGGCTCGGGCGCAGGGGTCATAATCATAAGTCCGAACATGCTCATAAACATTCAGTGTGCACTAAGGTTCGAATTTGAGGTGGCCAATAATGAAGCTGAGAATGAGGCCGTCATCATAGCTATGGAACTCGCCATAAATCTCGAGCTTGAAAATATCAAAATTTATAGTGATTTCCAGTTGGTGGTTGAGCAAATCGAACGGACGTTCGATAGAAAGGATGAGAAGATGAGCTTATACTGCTTGAAAGTGTATGATCTCTAGAGAAAGTTCAAGAGTTGTGAAATTGTAAAAATTTCTCGGGTTGAGAATTGTAGGGCAGATGTCTTGTCAAGATTGGTGTTCATGGGATTAGATGGGCTTGACAGGACAGTCCACGTCAGAATTGTAACCGAGCCAAGCATCAATCAGACTGTAGACGTCATGGATATTGATAATGAGACATCATGAATGGACCCAATAGTGGACTTCATAAAACATGGCAGTCTTCCAACAGATCCTCGGGCAGCGAGAAGCATCCGGTCCAAAGCTCCGAGGTATTGCATAATTGAAGGTATTTTATTTTGCAGGAGCCTCACACTTCCGTACCTCAGATGCCTTAGGCCTTCCGAATCATCCGAGGCCCTAGAAGAAGTTCATGAAGGTGTATGTGGGAACCATCAAAGAGAACGGGATTTAGCCTTCAAGCTCATAAGGTATTGATATTATTGGCCAACCATGATGAAAGACGCCCATGAATATGTCAAGAAGTGTGACAAGTGCCAAAGATTTGGCAATGTCATCCACCCTCCCGCAGAAGACCTCACTAGCATTAGTTGCACAACCCCATTTGAGTAGTGGGGAATTGACATCCTTGGTCCCTTTCCAATAAGTAGGGGACAATTGAAGTTTGTGGCTGTGGCTGTAGAGTATTTCACTAAGTGGGTAGTGGCCGAGCCTTTAGCAACAATTTCAGAGCCGAAGTTAAGAAGTTTCATTTGGAGATCCATCATATGTAGGTTCGGGATATCGAAAGACCTCATAACTGATAATGGCAGGCAATTTGACAATGCACAATTTAAAAACTTTTATACCGACCTAGGGGTTGATCACCGTTTGATATCGATTTTACATCCTCAAAGTAATGGTCTCGTCGAAGTGACCAATTGGATTATATTGCAAGACCTCCGTACAAGGATCGGTGATGCAAGAGGTTCCTGGTCTGACGAGTTGCCTTCCATACTTTGGACGTATAGAACGTCACACAAAACTGCTACAGGGGAAACCCCCTTCATGTTGGCTTTTGAAATTAAGGCCACCATCCCTGTTGAAGTCAGGTTGCCCAGCCAAACGAGGCTCGAGCCCGAAGATGCAGGGCACACAACTGAACACCTCGACCTCTTGGAAGAAGTTCAGGATCGGGCAGCTTTAAAAATGGCCTCCTACTAGGATAAAACAGCAAAGTACTTCAATAAAAAAGTAAGGACGCGAAGATTTAGAACCGGAGACCTTGTGTTAAGAAGGGCTAAAGCAGCAGGTCATGCCCCGGGCAAGCTAGGACCAGTTTGGGAAGGGCCCTTCGAAGTCATACGACAACTCCAAGGAGGCGCATACAGTTTAAGGGATACGTCAAGAAGGTCGCTTCCAAGACCATGGAACGCCGAGAATTTAAAGATATATTACAAGTAACTTGGTCTTCCAGTTATTTGTAGTCAGGCCTGCGCATCAAGGCTCACGTTTTCAATTGTCAGGCCTGCGTGCCAAGTTTTATTTTTCGATAGTCAGGCCTGCATGCCAAGGTTCACGTTTTTAGTTGTCAGGCCTGCGTGCCAAGTCTGTTTTTAAAGTATAATAAGAATTAAGCAATTCGTCAAAATATGATCTAGCTACAAAAAGCCTTGCCTCGTACAAGCAACTCAAGCCTTACCCTGCGCAAGCAATCAAAAAAGCCTTGCTTCGCGCAAGCAACTAAAGCTTTGCCCCGCGCAAGCAACTCAAGCCTTACCCCGCGCAAGCAATCAACAAGTCTTGTCCCGCGCAAGCACGTCAAGTAACAGTCCCGATCACACAGTGCCCGATCAATGGTATGAGAGATCTTATAAAAAGGCCATTTACAGTCCTCGGGAACACGCTATAGCTCGGTACAATTACGCCGATCTCGATACATGATGTTCAAAAATGATTTTACAAATTGAGTCCTCGGGATAACTTGTCTACATGCTCGAGTTCAACACTAAATGTTCAAAAATGATTTTACAAATTGAGTCCTCGGGGTAACCTGTCTACATGCTCGAGTTCAACACTTGATGTTCAAAAATGATTTTACAAATTGAGTCCTCGGGGTAACCTGTCTACATGCTCGAGTTCAACACTTGATGTTCAAAAATGATTTTACAAATTGAGTCCACGGGATAACCTGTCTACATGCTCGAGTTCAACACTAAATGTTCAAAAATGATTTTACAAATTGAGTCCTCGGGATAACTTGTCTACATGCTCGAGTTCAACACTTGATGTATGATTTTACAAATTAAGTCCTTGGGATAACTTGTCTACATGCTCGAGTTCAACACTAAATGTTCAAAAATGATTTTACAAATTGAGTCCTCGAGATATTTAATTAATCTAGGCGTCGCATTGTCAATTCACCCTAGGCGTCGAGATATTTAATTAATCTAGGCGTCGAGTTGTCAATTCATCTTAGGCGTCAAGTTATTGAACCATCTTAACGTCGAGCTATTTGAGTTTGTCATAATCGAGACATCAGCCATACATAATCGCGCAAAATGAAAAATACTTGATCGAGCAAAATACCATAAATGGAACATTATCTAAGATCGAGCAGAATACTTGTTCAAAATACAAAAAAAAAGGAGATGTCATCATGAGAAAAAACATAAACTAATCTAGGTCCTCGGCTCTTTCTCCCGAGGCCGTGCTCCCCTGCTCTTCCGCCGCGTCCTCACCGTCAATATCGACCTCATGGTCCTCGACGGTTTCCTCGGACTCTGAAAGCTCGAGGTCATCAGCAACCTCAGGGATGCTCTTTAAATCCTCGGGTTTGTCGTCAGGCTTCGACCTCAAAAAAGCCCAAGCCTCTTTGAAAGCGTGGAAGTACAAGCCCATGGCGTATTCTTGCTTAAGCCCGTTGAACTCCTCGGACATTTTGAAATCCTCGATCGCAACCCCTCAAGCTTCAGCCAAGCCAGTTTTGAAATCAATCTTCAAATGCTCGATCTCGAGCTTTAAATCCTAGGCCTCGCCCTTAGCAGCTCCAGCCTCTTCCCGAGCTCTCTGGACGTCATTCTTCGAGTCCTCGAGCTCCCTCTAGAGAAGGAAGGGCTCAGCTTCCAAGTTGGCTATCCTCTTCTCATGTGCTCGAGAAGTGTCCTCGAGCTCACTAGTTTTTTGTGCCTCGTCTTTCTCCTTCAGAGAAAGGCCTCGGGCAATGCTCAGAGCCTGCATCATATAAACCCGAGCTTAAAGCAATCACATCATATAAACCCATAAATTACACCAAGTAAGTTGAGCGAGCTTACCTTCAGAGTGAGAGATTCAAGAGCTTTCATACCCTCATCAAAATCGAGGTCCTTTCGATACTTGTCCAGGATGCTGGACACCAGGGGACACCAGTCAGGATCTTGATTTTGGAACGAGGGCATAGGTGGGACCTCATCCTCAGGGTCAACAACCTCGGGGGTATGCCTTAGCTGAGGACGTGACCGAGGTGGGGCAGTTGGAGTCTCATTGGCCTGTATGGTCGGGGATTGTCCCCGGGCAGAAGGTTCCCCTAACCCACTCCTAATATTCTCAGGGCCTGAATCTCGAGCTCTCTTCTTCCCTCTCTTTTGACCTGGAGCTCAAGCTTGAGAGGCCTTCGACTTTTTGGTCACGGCCTGTTTGAGGGCTGAAGGATCAAAAGTCATCTCTGCAAAAAACAAGTCATTGACATGAGCATAATTATACGTTCAAAGACAGATCAGTAAGGAAGAAGGCAAAAAGATGATCCCTACCCTCAGTGCTTTTCACATCCGCGAGATCGAGAACGTCATCCCCGAGGATGTCATCTATATCATATACAAGAGGCTAAGGTTCTCTAATATCATCCTATGCCTTTCTAAAGACTCAAAATAGGCCTGGCCTTCACAAAACCTGGGAGTATCAGGCAAAACCCACCTAGGACTAAAAGGAAGGTCACTATCCTGAGGTGCGACATAAAACCACTTTTCTTTCCATCCTTTCAATGAACTGGGCATCCTCAGTAATCTAAAGCCTCCTCAGGATGAAAGGTAAGCAAAACAGGTATATTTAGGTAACTGTTTCAGGTCGAAGACCATTCTACAGAGATCGACGTATGGGTTAATTCCTAGGTATCTACAGGCTATAAAAAAATAGGTGAGCATCCTTCACCCATTTGGCACAAGCTGTCCAGGGCTCATGTTATGCTCGACCAATAAAGACACAAAAAAGGGATACAGAGGCCATCTAAATCTCCCCCTTAGTGAGTCCCTAAAAATCACGAACTCTCCATCCCGAGCAAAGGCCATCCTATCCTCTACCCCTGGCGTCCTAATATCACATTTTGGCATGAGCCCATGCTCCCTAGTCGTCGATATTGCTAGATGCTCTTTAAATTTACAAGGAACCTCGGGGTACCTAAAGGGGGTCGGGATACTTTGTGCTCGAGGTTGGGTATTAATTAGGACGGCCATAGGTATGATCGAGCATCCTATGTCCTCGGGAGTACTCCTCGAGGAGAAGGACGAAGACTCAATACTACTACTACTAGACATCCTGACCTAGGTAAAAGAGTGCTTAAAGAATAACTTAAAAACTCGAGGTCTTACCTTAAAGTCGACGCCTAAAAACTCAAAGTTCTGATCTCGACGATTAGCAAGAGAAGTTTACTGAGAGTAAAAAGTGAAAAATGAAATGTGGAGAGGGTATTTATAGGCAACAGGAGCAGGTAGTCCAAAGGTCACTACCCCGACCGTCAGATCTGGCCACGTGTCCTACATCCACCCCCTACCATTTTTTACCACCTTTTCCTATTTTAGGGCTTACCTCAGTACACGTCAGCCCTTCTGAACACCTGTCATCAAAAACATCCTCGAGCTAATTTCCCGACCTCTTATTTCCAGTCTCTTTGCATCATATCCTCAAGCGAAGGCTTCGAGCATAGATGCACGGGGGCCAATGATAGTAACATTTCTAGCAGTCCGATCACAAAATTATCCCAACGACTATTTTCGATGAACTTTTAACTCCAACTATGGAGTCCTCGAGCATGTGGTGGCCTCGAGACATTAAGCCCGACCACATCCCGCCTGGCTGTTTTGCATATTGCAATACTTGTTCTCGAGTATCAGCAGTCATCGAGCATATGCTCCCCTCACAACCTACAATTGTTGACCCTTTAGAATTCCTACGCAATTAGGACTCTAACTCAACCATATATTCGACTCCTGCAAGGATTCTATCCCACATATAATTATGAAATTTGACCAACTCCTTAACTATTCATGACTCCAACAGATAAGGACATCCAGCTAGTTGAGTCCCACTAGGAGAATGTCTCTTACTACTATAAATACAGAACCTTGAGCCATTATTCAGGTACGTTTTTCATTATTCTTCAACAGATAGCCTCTCGCATATAATTCCCTTTCTGACTTAAGCATCCGAGGGGCGACGAGAACACACCTCGTTGCCTTTGTTTCAGGTACCGGAAGACTACGATCTTGATCAACCCGAATCATCAAGCTCGAGAAATCTGCAGGTACGAATTTTGGTAGCATCAGAACCCTTAATAGATAATAATGAATATTGTTGGAATTGAACGCAAATACTATGTCTCTCTACAATTCTGACGGTGATATTCAAGTGTTTCAACGAGCCTCTCCTTAGAAAAGTCACCCTTTAAGTAAACTTCGGTCAGATTTTCATTTTCTCCATATTTTTTTCATTCTTCTTCGACTTAAGAAACAAACTGAAAATGGCAGGGGATTTTGGGAGTGTACTGGTGAGGTGGAGGGGAACAAGTTAGCCATAGTTCCTTCAATGGTGAAAAGGAGTTTGTTATTTATGTTTTTATTGCTTGAAATTTCTTCGTAGATGAAATCTTTATAGATCCACGAGTTGTTGATGATATCTAGAGTTTAAAAACTTTATTTGATTATATTGAGATATTGTTATGGAGTAAAATTAAATAGTTCTGAAAATCACTTGTTATTGTTGCACAAGTGTTTCGATCATTGTAACATATGAGTAATTGTCCAAAAAAGTTGCAATAGTTAACAACTAATAATTTTCCTTTAAAATATCGTATTGTCATGATTCTCGACGGTTCAATAAATCTTCTTTATTTTTTCATTTTAATTATGTGTTTTTTTTTTAAAAAAAAACTTTTTTAATGTCAAGCTCAACAAATTCGTCTACTTGGGATCATTATGTTACAAAAATTGACAACTAATAAAAACTAGATGTGTAATAATTTTTTTATAAAAATTGATGAAATATGTGAATAAAATGTTAAGTGTCACATAAATATATGATTAATTCAACCAAATATAATTTATACGAACGGACTAGCAGAATTTCAATAAATTAGGATAAGGATACATCCTGGATCTATCAAAACTAAAGCAAGTGGGCCCCGCTTGGCAACACTTCAGGCCATGGGATTCTGAAAATACCATTGGTAATTTTGGCAACCTACTGTTTTGGAATCTGTCGTCTCTGTAAGCACACAGAATATACACTAATCTATCAACCATCAAAAACCACCTTATCCATCATCACCTTCACCCCACCCCCACATTATATATACTGACATTTCTGTGCAATACTCCATATCTCAAACCGAAGTATCATCAACAAATTATCCAATACAAAGAACAGAAGATCAAAAATGTCTGGGCTTGTGGACATGTGGAATAGCGAGCTAGCCAAGCTGCGGAACAAGGGTCAAGATGGCTCAGTCAAAACAAGTCACGAAAAGGAAGCTAGCCCAGATGAAAGGAGCTCAACTCTCCGGCAGTCAGCTAGCTTGGCTAAAGCCATGAAAGATAAAGTGCAGCTAGCTTTGAAGTGTTCCGAGGCTTCAGTTTCTATGCTCGTTGAAAGCTTTTGTCCTTGAACAAGTAAAAAAGTTGGGTTTTTGTAATTTTAATTTTTTTCTTTTCAATTAAAACTTGCATGTACGTGTGTGCAGTGCAGCATGAAGTGGAAAATGTAAGTTTGTTTTCATCAAATCACACTTTAAACAATTTTGGAAAAAACAAAAAAGAATGGAGGTGCGGGGAATCGAACCCCGTGCCTCTCGCATGCGAAGCGAGCGCTCTACCATATGAGCTACACCCCCGTTTGCTGGTGATGAAACGTTTTAATAATATATCACCATCTTTCATTTTGATTATAAAATTCCCCCTTTCTCATATCCTTCCAAGTTCAAATTCTCAAAAACAAAAAATTATTTGTTTCGTTGTTCGACATCTTAACTTACCACTCGACAAATCACTACCGACTGAATACACCCCAATAATCATATTGAATGGTAAGCTATAATTTTCTTTTAAGATTTTCCTAAAGTCTTCAAAGAAAAGTGTAATACAAAAAGGGCAGAACAAAATGTCACTCTAAGAGTTGTTATATTTAACCATATTGCACTTTGACCACTGTCGATATAGCCATCGTTTGACTTTCTTTAAATTAAATCTCTTTATTTCATATTCATTTTTAAACACACATTCACACAATAAAATATTTTATACGTAAATTTGAAATTTTTATTTACTTTTGAGCTACACGTTCTCTAACAAGTCACTATTCAAAACATTAATTTCCTCCAATTTTTTTTTATATATGATGCATAAAAATCTCACAAATATAAATAATAGATAACTAAGCATTCTTCTCAATAATCAAGGGTTGTGTGTAAAATACAACTTTTTTCCTTTTTGTCTACCTATAAGAGAATATGGACATCTATGTATGTAAAATCTACAAAAAATGTGAGAGACTATAAAGATGTGCTAGGTTCCATACTCTCGGTAGATTCGGTCATGGTGATTGTATGTCTCTCTTCGGCCCACCTCAGAACCTCCCTGCCATATTGAAGAGCTTTATCTACACTATCAGCCTCCAACCCTGTAACCGGTATAACGAACAACTTGCGCCCCGTGATCGAAGTGAACAGCCTTTTGTACTTCGCGGCAATGTAGTGGAAAGCACGTTGAGCCAAAGACGTGTTGTTCCTGTTGTTATTGTACGGATGAAGACTGGTCACGGGATTAAAATCCTGGAACCAGTCACATTGAGTTAGAGGAACATGTTCGATCTTTTCCTCCAAAAGATCGAACTTGTTGAGTATGAGAAGGAAATCTTTCTCTACAAATGTTGGATGAGTAACGATGTTCGTAAAGAGTTTCTTGCTCGCCAACATCTTGTTTGTGCAGACTCCATTAATATCTTCGTAGAATTCATCGTAATCTATCAAGGAAACACAATACATGACTAGGTCGACATCTTCGAACATTTCCAACCACTTGCAGTTTTCTCCGAGGCTGTCCGCATGAACTCTAATTAGTTGATACCTGCATAGACAATAGGAAGAATGATAAAACTGCGTCTAGTTCTTAGCAATTTTCCATTTCATCCAACCCGCTTTAATTCTTCTAGCATTTTTCATCTTATCAAGTAGATCAACTACTTCCCATTAAGCTTCCTCTTGAAAAATTTATAAATGGTTTATAAAGAGGAATAATAGTGGATCCTACGAAATGTGTGAAAAATAATGAATAACGATAATTAATATATATTTAAATTCATGTTTTCGACTTTGACTGAATTTTATTTAATATATAAAATTGTTGTCCAAACGTAGGCTAGAAGTGTAACATAAACGGATTTTAATTAAGTATGGCCAACGGTATAATACTCTTGAATAATTGAAACAATCATGCTATAGGAACATAAAGTTTGACATAATGTCACGAGGCATTTTATCATTAAACAATTTAAAAAACTGTCAGTTTTTTCATCCAATCACTTTCCACCACATGCAATTATGTCAAGTATAAAATCATATGTCAAAGTAGCCTTATCCTAATTGCCCAAATACAAACGAAAAATCAATGTTATTTCTTTAGTAATGACTGTGGTGGATTCCCCGGATCATTTTAGCGCTATGTTTTCAAGAACCGATAAAATTTTAGAAACAACTGCATCTATTGGCAAAAAATATAAGGATTTTGAAACTTTATTTCATGTTTAATACATTGAACTAGACAATGTCAAAAAAAAAAAAAAAAAAAAAAAAAAAAAATCTAATCCATTGACCTGTTTAGTATGAGGATATGATTAGGGGGCATTGTATTAAGGTGAGTTTGGAAGGATTATAATACAGCATTTGGTGCTACACCGAAGACACTACAAGTAACGAAAAATTATGACAATATTTTTACAAGAATTGATTAAACATAAAAGCAAAATTTATAGGCAATTTTTTTTACATGTAAGTGAATAAAATCTTATAAATGATTTTTTAATTATAAGTAAATTTTTTATTTATAGAGTAATTTTTTATTTATAATTGAATTTTTAGTTTAGAAATTTATTATTTTTTTCTTTTTTACATAAAATTGAAACTATAAAGCTATTTTATAACTTCCACGTTTAACAAAGCAGCCCCGTTTTGAGTAGATATACAATTTGTTTGACTTACGTGAAGATGTTACATGTGATTTTTCTACTTATATAAGCATTTTTATAACTTCTAAATTAATTTTTACTCATAAGTAATATTTTAGTTATAAGTTGTTTTTTGCTTGTAAGTAAAATTCTTAGCTCTTATTTATTTGTAAGTAAATTTATGTAATTCAATTTAACTAATCTTTTCTTAATTCATAAATTGGTGAACAAATAATACAATCTAAACCCACCCCCACATTGAGTATTTAATTTAATACAGAAAGCTCTTACACCACAATTCTAGTTTGTCTTCTGATATTTTTTAATTAATAAAATGAAAAAAAAAAAAAAAAAAAAAAAAAAAAAAAAACATAAAATCTAATCCATTGACCTGTTTAGTATGAGGATATGATTAGGGGGCATTGTATTAAGGTGAGTTTGGAAGGATTATAATACAGCATTTGGTGCTACACCGAAGACACTACAAGTAACGAAAAATTATGACAATATTTTTACAAGAATTGATTAAACATAAAAGCAAAATTTATAGGCAATTTTTTTTACATGTAAGTGAATAAAATCTTATAAATGATTTTTTAATTATAAGTAAATTTTTTATTTATAGAGTAATTTTTTATTTATAATTGAATTTTTAGTTTAGAAATTTATTATTTTTTTCTTTTTTACATAAAATTGAAACTATAAAGCTATTTTATAACTTCCACGTTTAACAAAGCAGCCCCGTTTTGAGTAGATATACAATTTGTTTGACTTACGTGAAGATGTTACATGTGATTTTTCTACTTATATAAGCATTTTTATAACTTCTAAATTAATTTTTACTCATAAGTAATATTTTAGTTATAAGTTGTTTTTTGCTTGTAAGTAAAATTCTTAGCTCTTATTTATTTGTAAGTAAATTTATGTAATTCAATTTAACTAATCTTTTCTTAATTCATAAATTGGTGAACAAATAATACAATCTAAACCCACCCCCACATTGAGTATTTAATTTAATACAGAAAGCTCTTACACCACAATTCTAGTTTGTCTTCTGATAAGTTATTACAGAACAGAGGCATTAAGTATCAGTACCAGTACCGGCATTGTTAGATTAGAAAACTGACCTTATTAAGGAATTATTGTGATCAACAGCTGGTTCCATGTAACTATCACGATACGACGAATTGGGAAAAGAGAAATCCATCGACGCAACCCCATTGGAAGAAGTGATGTTCTCAGCATACAAGATATCCATATCAGAAGGCTCATAATCTATTCTTGCAATTTCAACACCCTTCAAGTTATGCAAATTTCTGTATTAACATTGATTCAGATCGATCACATTACCAAATAAAGCATAAATAACTTACCCGATTTAAGAAATAATTAGCAACTCTAGGTAACATATGCAGTTCATTTCGCCTTGTGTAAGTGGCTTGAAATGCTCTATCCTTCCACAGCTCCTCAACTAATGGTGCGTACTCACGAGTAGCAGCTGGGAAGATGGCCTCCAAGTTGCCTGACACCATAATTTGGAGAAGCCAACTGGAGAATCCTTTCAGTCTCGGACTAATGGAGTAAATGTTTTTTTCATCCACCTGGTCGGTATTCGCTGAAATTTCATTTAAGAGCAAGTGAATTCTTCAAACGGTCTAATTTACTGAGATAAATAATTAAACAATTGCTTTATTTATACCAGAAGAACTCGGTTGATCAATTCGTTGTCTCCTCATTTCAACCAAATAATCTTGTTCAAATCGTTCACGCCCCTCGAGCAAGATTCCAATATAGCTATACAAATTTCTTTGGATCATGACTTTGATATTTTCCCTCTCATCTTCTGAAAAAGGAACATTATACAGAATTTTGGCCTGGAATCGAACAAGGGTTAAATAGATTCATTAATATGCTACACAAGTGAAACAGTTTCATTAGCCATATCCAATATGCGACAAAGTACCTGCTTAAATATGGTACTTGTTCCTGATTGATCGCTACCGACTAGAAGAAGTTTATTCGTTGCTTTCTCATCTATGTTTTTCGAGTTAATCTTATCTGTGTCATTATCGACTCCTTCACCACCAGGATTTGCAGTACTAGAAGGAAACGGCAAGGACAAAGCAGCGCACGCTATCTTGACTATTTTCTGGAATAGAAAATTAACAGTATAACTTATTTATTATTCTGAATATGGATTAAGGGGAAAACTACATAGAAAAAGAAGGATCGTCAGCGAAATTTGGACTCACCTTATCCCATAATTTCCCCATCACATTATTCATACCTTCATGCTGATAGGAACCATCTGCAGTGACCCAAAAGGTAGGGTTCCCTTCGCAGCGTATTCCGGCTGCCTGCAAAGAATCAACAAAATGCTGAGAATTAAATGCTTCAGAATTACAAACACAAATAAAACCTCCTAATGTAAAGCACAATAACCTGCAACATCCACAGCTCCGGTTTAGTAATCTCCCTGTTATTTATCTGTACATTGGTGTTTCCATTGCTAGCATCTTGCCTAATTTGATTACCAACGGCAAGTTGGGGGCTTATAATCTGGCACGGTTTCTCCCCTTCCTGTTAATGAGCAAAAATCACTTATTGATCTAAAAAACTCATTGCACGTTTGGTACGAAGTACTATACAGAATTGAAAAGTATAACGAACAAGGTTCTTCCTTAATATTGTTGAGTAACTAGGATACAATTCTCACCTTTCCCCAGAAACCAGAAACCTTATCGTACCAATACTTTCCCGGTTTCAGCTTCTTTGGTGGATTTGGGCAGCTTTGCAACAAAACCAACTCATCCATAGAAAGAGGCCTGTCATTTACATAGATAAGATGAGGGGGCAGCTGATTCACTTCACATAATACCTCAGAACTCATAATCTGCTTAACGACATCATCCGTGAGGAGTTTCCTAAGCATTCGGGAACATTTCCCCAAGGTTCCCCTCCTCAACTCATCAATCCGAAAATCAATGCAAGTAATACATTTTCTTCCTTGTGGCATTGATCCCATTGCTCTTAGCACACACTTGCTACAATACTTAGCACCACAAACTATGCAAACTTCCTTCTCACCAAACCGATTCCTTTTATGACACCGATAACACGTCCCTTTCCTCATGTCATCTACAACCACCGGCCTCTCGGGGAAGACTCCCACCCCATCATCATCTTCTTCGGAGGCCGCTTCACTTGATGTATAATCACGAAAAGTCACTACTTGTATTCTATTGCCTTGACGAGGAGCTTCATCCTCACAATCTTCCAACTCTCCTGATCTAGTTGATTTGGAGGCGTTTGAGCAATTTCCAGACCCTAGATCCTCCTTGTATTCTTCGTCTAAATCCTCAATTTTCGAGCTTCCTGATAACCAATTCGAATCAGCATGACCATCAGAAAACCCCAATCCACCAGAACTACTGGAACCTCTATCTAATACATTAGATTCACCAGTTGTCAAACCTAATGCTTCTTCTCTATGAACACCATCCTCTGAATTTCCCAATAAATTTTCATCAGAACCCCCGATTTGACCTAAATGTACATCAGAAACGGGAGATTCAGAGCCTAACTTTAAGTCAATTGACAATTTCTTTTCGGAATAACCACTTCTTACAATTGGCTTAATAACTGGTAGTGATAAATTATTGAACGTGGAAGCCCTAGCAACCATGGCCGCAGTCGGAATCCTCCTAAAATCCACCGGAACCACCTCCGGAATATCCCCGCTGACCGGAGGGCCACTGTATTCCATGGCAAAGGAATAGTCCGAATTATAATCATCTTCTTCATTATCCACCCTTTTCGAGGGCAAAATACTCATCAAAACACTAGTCATATTGCTAATTCAAACCCCAATAATTAAAAATTGATGAATACCTATTCTTTTTCTTTCATTTTCAACCTCGGACTGGAAAACAACACACGGGCCTCAACAGGTGATTCATATAAATTAAAAAGAATACCAAATCTTTAACATGGAAGCTTGATCTTGAATCGAAATGAATTGAAATTACAGAAATTTTTTAATAGGACGATGGGTTTTTGATTCTGATGCCAGTGATGTAGACTTTGAAAATAGTGATCTAAAAGATAAGACTTGAAATTTCAAAGAGAGACTGTCGAAGTCGAACGAGAAAAATTGAACACTAAAAAACAGATCCATTATTCTACGTCAACGCGTATGCAAGAAATTTCTCCTGAATGTTTGGTGGGAACGGAAGAAACGTAAATGGTTTGAAACTGTTGAGGGCATGTTTGGGAGTGATTTAAAAAATTAATTTTTTGATGGTTAGAAGAAAAGTGGGATCCACCTGTTAGAGAAGAAGTGAAATATGATGGCTAAAATAGTAAAATAACGATCAAAAAATCAATTTTTTGGGTGAAAAAATGGGGCCCAAACAGGCTCTGAGTTAATTGTTCAATGGTCACCGAACTTATATCTAAATTTTTTATTTTTCATTAAAATTTAAAATGTCGAATTTTGATCATTGAATTTTAAAAAGCGTTGGACGTGACTATGCACACATGGCACCCTGTTGCAACATTAAACTTTGAGATGGTCAAATTTTGATCACTAGACTTTAAAAAAATCTTTCATTGCTCACTAAATTTTGAAGTAATCAAATTTTGGCTACTAAACTTTGAAAAATGTCTTTCATTACTAATTATAGATTTGGATTTAATTAAATCTTTGTTTATCTCTCTTTAAAAACGACTCTTTCATTTTCATACTCATTTTTAATCACATATTTATACAATAAAATAATTTTACATGTGAACTCAATTTTTTTTTAATACTTTTTAATCATACATTTTTTTTAAAAAAAATCACTATTTAAACTCTCTCTTTCTCTTCTTTTGTTTTTTTTTTTTTTAAATAATGGCCATCAAATAGGGACTAAAATTCGTTGTTAAATTTTAAATTTAATTTAATTTTAACAATAAATATATTGTGTGTTTCATTACAATTAGTAATCACTTTCTTGCATAGTTTTGCAAAACATTTTCTATTGCTCACAATAAATTTGGATTTAATTAAAATTCATGGTTAAGATTAGAACTTAATTTTATTTAACAACAAATTCATTGCATGTTTAATTGTAAAATTCAAATATTGTGATAATAATAATTTAAAATTCTACAAAAATAAACTAAAATTAAATTTAACTATTGTGTAATTGATTAATTATTCCTAATGATATAGACAATGCTTGCAAAATTAAGTGATTTAAGACGAGAAAATAAAAAATGGGTGTTAGATGTACATTTCGTTAGCCACCTCATCAATTTCATTAGAGATTTAAAATAAAAGTTATGTCAATGAGTAACGAACAATTTTTTTCAAAGTTCAGTGGGCAAAACTCGACATTTTAAATTTCAGTGAAAGCAAATATGTATATATAAGTTTAGTAACCATTAGAACAATTAACTTGAAACTATTATATAATTTGTGTATGTACCCATATATATACGTGTATATTATACATTTGTACAAATATAACTGATGGTAATTTTTTCAAATTCATTTTAAATTAAACATTTTTTAGCAAAATAATTTTATATGTGGATTCATAACTTTTTCTCTATTTTTAATCGTATATATACTCTAAAAAAATATAGATCTTCACAAAATCCATTCTAGAATATCTACACCAAAAAGTTGTAAAATGATACCCTAACATTATTTGTATATAATGGAGTTACATAAAGACTTAGGCCCCATTTGGTGGGGATTTTTTGCCCCAAAAAATTGATTTTTTGACCGTTATTTTACTATTCAAGCCGTAATTTTTTACTTCTTCTCTCACATATGGACCCCACTTTTCTTCTAACAATCAAAAAATTAATTCTCAAAATCCCTACCAAACGGACCCTTATATACAAATGATTTGTCAAAAAATAGTGGGTAAGATTTTTATTTTTATTTATTTGATTGAAAATTTTTTGACCCAATCATATCTCGTCATATCATGTAACCATTATGTACATATAACATAATCGTGTTGTAAATGTCACATTAAACCACACATTTTTTCAAGGCGTAACGTATCACGGTTCACAGATACACATCATTGGTACAATTTAGTCATGAGTACGTATCTTTTACTTTTAGAATTGCGGCAACCTTTCTTTTTAGCCCCCATTTGGGAGTGTTTTTTTAACTCAAAAAATTGATTTTTTGATAATTATTTAACTATTACAGCTATTATTTTTTACTTCTTCGATACGAATGACCCCCACTTTTCTCCCTAATGATCAAAAAATAATTCTCATAATCAGTACTTAATAGGTCCTTAATTTGAAGTGAAGTTTCAATTGAAATGGAAATCTTCGACATTTTAACACTCATTTCATAATCTCTTCTTGGATTCTTAGTTCTGCTTGATTTTTTAAAATTTATTTTATTTTATTTTATTTTTGGCCTAAAACTTACTAGCCATGACGTGTTGAGGACAAACAAGATGATATAGCAGTGAAGCTACACGTATAGGAAGCAAGTCCCGGCCAAGAAAGAAACAAGTGGGGCGTGGGTCCCACAATTAAAAAAAAAAACATGTGGGGGCCGCTCCCAAACAGTGTGAAAATGCACCACGTGCAAATTTTTTTTTTTTTTTTTTTTTTTTTTTTTTTTTTTTTTTTTTTTTTTTTTTTTTTTTTTTTTTTTTTTTTTTTTTTTTTTTTTTTTTTTTTTTTTTTTTTTTTTTTTTATATTCAGGCATCCCAACTTACACCAAACTAAATCCTGGACTATCAAGACCCTTGTCCCTAGAATTTTGGAAGGGGTAAATCGCGGGTTATGCCTCAACTGGATCACAGGTTCCCCCCATTGCCTGTACACTTCTGCGCACAAGAGACCCTCCTCCACAGTAATTGCTCCATATCAAATATTTGGCCGCAAGTTCCCACCAGAAATTGAACTCTCCACCGTGCCGCTGGAAGCAAGACAATGTTGATTGATCCACCAGTTAAGCTGTGACCCGGGGCTCGTGCAGCTTTTTTCATGATATAGACATTGGAGCAAATAGAGAATATTTTACGTTAGCCACAAAATATAAATGATAGAATTTTATTTTTTTATTTTTCTTTTCTTATATGCTTAAATTGGAGTAAAAAAAAAAGAAAAAGAAAAATAGATGTTAACACCAACCCCAAATTTTCGTCCATATTTCTTTAAAAAATAAAAAATAAATAAAAATCAGAATCTAGTTTTAATTTTATATCCTTTTAGGTACCATTTTCCCCCCAATTACTTAAAACCCACTAAATCAAAACATCTCTCTCTTTACAACTTTTTTTTTCCCAAAAATAATAATGAAATTCAGACATAAATGTAAGAACTTGCTAAAAAAAGTTGTCAGTAGCCGATGTGCATGTGTGACTATAGAGGTTGAACTCCAACTTTAAGAACCCCCACCACCTCGTCCCTAAAGTTTTGTGAGGGATGTAAATCGCGGGATGTTTCCCAAGAAGTTAAGGAATAAGAGCTAATTGTACACTGCGCCTACAAGGAGTCCAATTCCATATCTCCATAATCGAACCCCCACACTGCGGTTGTCAATAAGGCATGAAATAACATCACTCTTATTCTTTGCATCACTAGACTATGCCCCGAGGGTGACTATGTTGTTATTGTTGTGAGGCTAAAGCCTTGCCCAAGAATAGCTCTTGTTGTGAATAATTTCGAATTAAATTTCAAATAAATAGGATGCATTTTCCACTTTATCGGACGAAGTTGAAACATTTTATTTTACGAGCATGTGAACAACTATTGGGGTGTATAGTGTACTTACGTTAATCATTGATAATTGGATTATATTTAAAAATTATTTCATAATATTAAATATACTTTAAATTCATATAATAGCCAGATTAGTGAACATGTTTAAATATGTTTGCTTGAGTTCCATTCTAGGGTAACAATGTATTTTTGAACAGTGTATTGATAGAAAATGTGCAGTTAAAAAATAAAGAAATATTTTGAATTTGTGCGTAACATTATTTTATCAAAGAATGTGTAGCTAAAATAATGTCAAAACACCGTCCAAAAATACATTTTTCCCCAAAGAATGAGGCTCAAACAATGGCTGAATTTTAGATGATTTGAGATAGAGATTGGGATTTACATTTTATAGGTTATGTTGAATGGTAATGTATCGTATTAAAGAAGAAAGACGCATCAAGAAATTTGTTACTCCCTTTATCCTATTAATATAGACTTGTTTTGTTTTTCACGTGGATTAAGAAAATCTTATTTAATACTATTAAAAAAAATATTTTTCGCTAAAAACCTTCATAGTTTACGATTATTTATATTTATACAATTTCATGATTAAGTGAAAAAAAATTGGTTATAACTAGAGAAATTAAATAATGGTGTATTAGTAAATGAACGAAAGAAAACATTCTCAATAAAGAAACGTTACTACATAATTGGGACAAGAAAATAAGAAAAGTTCTCATTTGAGCCCCATCAAATTTATAATACATTTTTTATCTTTTCTTTTTAACCACACATTCTTTAATAAAATAATATTGCACATAAACCAAAAAAAAAAAAAAAATTCTTTCTTCTTCAACACACATTCTCCAAAAAACACTATTTCAAAAATTATTAAATCAAATAACGAGGACAAAATGGAAGGCTTATATAAATGGGACGTAGAGAATATTTATTAATATATAGTATTTTGTATTGTATAATCCAATATACTAAACAGTGCAGACCAAAAATTGCCTTTTGAAGCATAATAACTAAGAATTTGACAAAGTTAGGGGGATTAGTAATACAACACTTGGGTGAAAAATATTCAAAAATATAATCAATGCTTGTGTTCCAACCTCCAGCTGTGACATTAATCATGAATTTTCCCATTGGCTTTGACTGTTATTGTTGTGCAACCAATTGCAAGTTTGTATTTTCCTTAATGGTCTATTTGGGCGGACCAACCTGAGCCCAATTGTCTTTTGATAGAAATGTTCACTAACGATTTTGGGATTTGAATATTCAAACTGTATTTTTCTAATGAAATTGTAAAAGGACTTTGCTACAAGTACATAGGGGGTACATAAGGGTGTCCATTAACCCGACACACCCTATTGGAGGGAGCGTTTGGCCCATCGGTGCCCCCTCCAATGGGGGGGTGTCGGGTGTCCATAATGGACACCCTTATGTACAAC